GAAAGGCTGGTGTGGGCACGATGGGCTGAATGGCCTCTTCTGTACCATAAGAATTCTGTGAATTAATGAAGGGTTTTTTCATTTCTACCAGAGAAGCTGGGATGGACACTTTATACCGAGGAATATCATATTAGCCAATGAATCATTCAGTCCTAACGAATGATCATCTCATCCAATAGATAGACTATTGATCCAGAAACTCAACTGAAATCTTCTGGGGATCCAGGTTCGAATCCTGCCACAGCAGATGGTGGAATTTGAATTCAGTAAAAAATATTTGGAATTAAGAATCATCAGATGACCTTGCACCATTGTTGATTGTCGGGAAAAACCACGCGGCTCACTCAAGTCCTTCAGGGAAGGAAATCTGTTATCCTCACCTGGTCTGGCCGACATGTGACTCCAGACCCACAGCAATGTGATTGACTCTCAATTGCCCTCTGATCTAACTTAGCAAACCACTCAGTTGTATCAGTCACTACAAAATCTCAACAAAGAAATGAAACCGGATGGATTACCTGACATCAACCAAGACTGTCGACTGTGCAAAGTCCTCCTCACTAACATCTGGGGGTTAGTGCCAAAATTGGGAGAGCTGTCTCACAGACTAATCAAGCAACAGCCTGACATAGTCATACTCACAGAATTATACCTTACAAACAATGTCGCAGACACCACCATCACCATCCCTGGATATGTCCTGTCTCACCGGCAGGACAGACCCAGCAAAGGCGGTGGAACAGTGGGATACAGTTGGGAGGGAGTTGCTCTGGGAGTCTTCAAGATTGACTCAGGACCCCATGAAGTCTCATGGCTTCAGGTTAAACGTGGGCAAGGAAACTTCCTGCTGATTACCACATACCGTCCTCCCTCAGCCTGATGAATCAGTTCTCCTCAATGTTAAGCAACACTTAGAGGAAGCACTGAGGATGGCAAGGGCACAAAATGTACTCTGGGTGGGGGATTTCAATGTCCACCAGCAAGAGTGGCTCAGCAGCAATACAACTGATCGAGCTGGGCATCCATAAGGTGCTGTGGGCCATCAACAGCAGCAGAATTGTACTCCAGCACAGTCTGTAACCTCATGGCCCAGCATATCCCCCACTCAACCATTACCATCAAGCTAGGGGATCAACCCTGGTTCAATGAAGAGCGCAGGAGGACATGCCAGGAGCAGCACCAGGCATAACTGAAGATAAGGTACCAACCTGGTGAAGCCACCAAACAGGACTACTTGCATGCCAAACAACATAAGCAGCAAGTGATAGACAGAGCTAAGTGATCCCACAATCAATGGATCAGATCTAAGCTCTGCAAACCTGCCACATCCAGTCATGAATGGTGGTGGACAATTAAACAACTCACTGGAGAAGGAGGCTCCACAAATATCCCCAACCTCTACGATGGAAGAGCCCAGCACATCAGTGCAAAAGATAAGGTTGAAGCATTTGCAGCAATCTTCAGCCAAAAGTGCCAAATGGATGATCCATCTCGGCTTCCTCCAGTGGTTCCCAACATCACAGATATCAGTCTTCAGCCAATTTGATTCACTCCATGTGATTTAAGAAATGGTTGGATACACTACATTAGAATCCCTATACTGTGGAAACAGGCCACTTAGCCAAACAAGTTCACATCATCTCCCTGAAGATCATTCCGCCCAGACTAACACCCCACACTCTAACACTGTACCCTGCATTTCCCATGGCTAATCCACCTAACTTATAAATGTCTGGACACTATGAGTAATTTTGCATGGCCAATCCACCTAACCTGCACATCTTTGGACTGTGGGAGGAAACCAGAGCACCCTGAGGAAACCCACACAGACACGGAGAGAATGTGCAAATTCCACACAGACAGTCACCCAAGGCTGGAGTTGAACCTGAATCCCTGGCTCTGTGAGGTAGCAGCGCTAACCACTGAGCCACCATACTATGGGCCCTGACAACATTCCAGCAAGAATACTGAAGACTTGTGCTCCAGAATTTTCTGCACCCCTAGCCAAACTATTCTGGTGCAGGTACAATACTGGCAGCTACCCTACATCGTGGAAAATTGTCAAAATATGTCCTGTACACAAAAAGCAGGACAAATCCAACCCGGCCAATTCCCACCCCATCGGTCTACTCTCGATCATCAGTAAAGTGATGGAAGGTGTCACTAGCAGTGCTATCAAGCAGCACGTGCTCAGCAATAACCTGCTCAGTGACGCCAAGCTTGGGGTCCACCAGGGCCACTCAGCTCCTGACCTCATTACAGCCTTGGTTCAAACATGGACAAAAGAGCTGAATTCCAGAGATGAGGTGAGAGTGACAGCCCTTGACATCAAGGCTGCATTCGACTGAGTGTGGCATCAAGGAGCCCAAGCAAAACTGGAATCAATGGGTGTCAGGGGACAAACTCTCTGGTGGTTAGAGTCACACCCGACACATAGGAAGATGGTTGTGGTTGTAAAGGGTCAGCCATCTCAGCTCCAGGACATCTCTGCAGGAGTTCCTCAGGGTAGTGTCCTAGGTCCAACCATCTTCAGCTGCTTTGTCAATGACCTTCCCTCCATCACAAGGTCAGAAGTTGGGGATGTTCACTGATGATTGCACAATGTTCAGCACCATGCGCGACTCTTCAGATATTGATGCAGTCCATATTCAAATGCAACAAGACCTGGACAATATCCAGGCTTAGGCTGACAATTGGCAAATAACATTTATGCCACACAAATGCCAGCTAATGAAGATCTTCAATAACAGCCAATCTAACCACCACCCCTTGACATTCAATGGTGTTGCTATCACTGAATCCCCCACTATCAACATCCTGGGCTTACCGTTGACCTGAAACACAACCGGACTCACCACATAAACACAGTGGCTACAGCAGCAGATCCGAAGCTAAGAATGCTGCAGCGAGTAGCTCACCTCCTGACCCCGCAAAGCCTGTCCACCATCTACAAGGCACAAGTCAGGAGTGTGATGGAATACTCCCCGCTTGCCTGGATGAGTGCAGCCACAATAACACTCAAGAAGCTTGACACCATCCAGGACAAAAGCAACCCACTGGATTGGCACTGCATCCACAAGCATCCACTCCCTCCACCACCAACGCTCAGTAGCAGCAGTGTGTACTATCTGCGGAAGCAATGCAGAAATTCACGTAAAATTCTTAGACAGCACTTTCCAAACTCATGACCACTTCCATCTAGAAGGGCAAGGGCAGCAGATACATGGGAAACCACCTCCTCCAAGTTCCCCTCCAAGCCACTCACCATCCTGACTTGGAAATATATCGCCGTTCCTTCATTGTTGCCGTGTCAAAATCCTGGAATTCTCTCCTTTTAAGGCATTCTGGGTCTATCTACAACATGTGGCCTGCAGCGGTTAAAAAAGGCAGCTCACCACCACCTTCTCACGGGCTACTAGGGACGGGCAATAAATGCTGGCCCAGATGTCCATGCCCCACAAGTGAATAAAACAGAAATGCTGTGCCTGCATGCTACAAGAAAACTGGATGGACAACTAGACACATCACTTGTACTGAAGATTAAAAGAATTCTCAGCTCTTTTACTGTATCCTGAGTACAGTTTGATAGGCCAGATACAATGAGACTACCAACAATTATGTGGTTAATGCAAGAAATGACAAACTACTCTCTACAAGGTCCATCATTTCCAAACCTGATAAGTATAGCGATGTCCCGTTGCAGTGCGTCTGCATCTTCTCAATAAAGTACACTAAGCTATTGTTAGCAGCAGGAACCTTGGCTCATTTTGTTCTGTCACTCAACCCCAAGGATGTCAATAATGGCATCGCCATCACAGTCCGAGCTGTGAGCGACTTTCTCATTAAAGAACAGGGATCCTCCTATGTGTGGAGTTCCGCACCATATAATAGTGAGAAGCTTCTGGGGAATTAAATTTCTCTCCTTATTTTGATAATAATTAAGGAACAGTTACTGTAGGCATAGTGGTTACATAACAACAATCCAGAAAACATGAGTTTTCTATCTTTCTATTCCCGCTTTTGTCTACGCTGGCATTGCAACCAAGATCAATGCCAGGCTGAGAATTTGAACTCAGTTTAAACATCTAGAAATAAAAATGTGATATTCATAAGAGTGGCTGTGAAGTTGTTCGATTGTAATTAAAAAGACTAAAGCTTTTCAGAGTAGGTTATATTTAACCAGTCTGGTTCATACATGGCTCCCATGTAGTTGACTCATGAGTGCCTTCTGAAGTCATTGGAAACTAATCTGGAATGGGTAACAAATGTCTGTCTCAGCAGCACCCCCCACCTACAAAGAGTGAATGACAATAATAAATGATAATGTCACTTCATTATGCCACTTCACACAATTAGGAAAGTTTGAAGAACTGTCGATGCTGCTGGCAAGGCCTGAATTTATCGACCGTGAGAAAATGATGAAGAGTTATTTTCTTGAACCATTGCAGTCCGTGCAACTTACAAGTTTGACAGCAGAGATAGTAGGAACTGCAGATGCTGGAGAATCTGAGATAACAAGGTGTAGAGCTGGATGAACACAGCAGGCCAAGCAGCATCAGAGGAGCAGGAAGGCTGACGTTAAGGGTCTAAGTTTGACAGCAGTTTGGATGGCTTGTAAGGCCATTTCAGAGGGCCATTAAGAGTCTGTTACATTACTCTGGGACTTGGGATCACATATAGGGCCAGACGGTCAATTTCCTCCCTAAAGGACATGAGTGAACTAATTTGCTTTTCACAATGACCCAATAATTTGCATGGTCTCCATTACCTTTTATTCAAGATTTATTTAGCTTTTTGCTGTGATGGGATTTGAACTTGCATCCCTGCATTATTTGTCCAGGTCTCTGGTCTGCAAGTCCAGTCATATTACCACTGTGCTACCACAGCTGCTGTGCTGTAGTGTTCCTTAAATCATTCAAAAGAAACACGTACAACTTTGAAGAACACAAGCAGCTGTACCAGGTGACTGAGATTTGTTTGATAGTAGGAGCCGCACTCACCTGTTTACCGAGGTAATGATCAATTCGGTACATCTCCTCCTCTCGGAGGACCTTCTGCAGCTCTTCGGCTAACCGCTGGGCAGAATGAAGGTCATGTCCAAAGGGCTTTTCCAGGACAACACGCAACCAGGACCCTCCCCGCGGCCGACAGGTGGCATTAATCTTGGTCGCGGTGTTGGCGTAGGCAAAAGCGGGAATAGAAAGATAGAAGAGGCGGCCTTCCTCCCGAAGCCCCTCTTGGGCCAGCGTCTCCTCAATCTTCTTGTTCAAAGCGGAGTAGTCTTCGTGAGTGTCCAGTTGGTGGTACTGGGTTGACTTCAGAAACTGATCCTTGAGCAGCACGCATTTCACTGATGGCACATTTGGCAAACAGGACAGGCCTTTCAGAATCTCGTACATTACCGGTGAGGCTTCCAAGGAGCTGAGGCGGGTGCCCCCATAAAAGCTCAGGCTGTGGGCACCACCAAGCTGCTCTGCATACGACTGAAATAAACCTTGCCACAGGTACTTTTTGGCCAAGTCCCCCGTGGCCCCGACTAAGACAACAGAAATGTGGGATTTGGATTCTGTGCCGAGCACATGCAGCAATCTACAGAGAAGCAGGCCATAGACAACTTGTGCAGAAATCATCGTTATAACAGGCTAAATATCCTCCAGGAACCTTTGAAAATAGAAACAAAAAGTAAATGGCATATGGTTCTAGTTTACATTAAAAAGATGGCTTTTTTTTAATCATTTGCTACACCTGACAACAATACTCCATAACTTTAAATGACATAACAAGGTGTAGAGCTGGATGAACACAGCAGGCC